TGGGGGGCGCCCCCCCCCCCCCCCCCCCCCCCAGCCCCATTGCTTTCACTCCTAGGAGCTGCCAGGGCCCCAGGATGTTGGGGGGCCCTCAAAGGCAGCCTTACCCCCCCAGGGGGTCCCACCCACATTCCTTAGTTCCCCTTCTAGTTCCCATTTTCCTTTCCTTGCTGTTTTCCACAAATTAAAACTGTTCTTTGAACAACGGACTCCTTATTGCTTACACTGCAGGGGTGGGGTGGGGGATTAAAGGCAACCACAGGGAATACAGGGTCACCTTGTGGAGAGCCATGCGGGAGCGTGTCAAAACTGGCCATGCATAAAACTGTCCTTCAAGGCCTCCCTTCTAGTTCCCATTTTCCTTTCCTTGCTGTTTTCCACAAATTAAAACTGTTCTTTGAACAACGGACTCCTTATTGCTTACACTGCAGGGGTGGGGTGGGGGATTAAAGGCAACCACAGGGAATACAGGGTCACCTTGTGGAGAGCCATGCGGGAGCGTGTCAAAACTGGCCATGCATAAAACTGTCCTTCAAGGCCTCTCTGATTTGTACTGCTACTTGCTGTGCTTTCCTTATTGCGTTGGTGTCCAGCTGCTCAAACTCTCTGGCTAGGCACTCTGCCTCAGGCCCCCACCCTGCCAGATGAATTTCCCCCTTGTTCTCGCACAGATTATGGAGCACACAACAGACCACCACCACAAAGGGAATGGTGCATTTGCTGAGGTCCAATTGGGTCAGGAGACTCCTAAACCTTCCCCTTAAATGTCCAAACACACATTCCACCACCGTTCTGCAGTTGCTCAGCCTGGTGTTGAACTCCTCCTTGCTGGGGTCCAAGCTGTCTGTATATGGCTTTGTGAGGCACAGGAGCAAGGGGTAGGCTGGGTTGCCCAGGATCACTGTAGGCATTTCCACCTCTCCAATTGTGATTTTTCTGTCTTGGAAAAAAGTGCCACTGTGCACTTGTCGGAAGAGGTAGGAGTTCCTGAAGATGTGCGCATCATGCATCTTTCCCGACCATCCCACATTGATGTCGGTGAAGTGTACCTTGGGAGAAGTACCCCTTGCAGTTTATGTACTCCATGGCAAGGTGGTCGGGGACCACAATGGGGATCTGTGTTCCATCTATCGCTCCATCACAGTTCAGGAACCCCATTGCTGCAAAGCCATCCACTATGGTATCTACATTTCCAAGAGTCACAACCCTCCATAGCAGAAGCAGCCCTCACTGTACATTTCCCAACTCCAGAGTGATTCCCCACTGACCGGTAGCAGTCTGGCATTGCAAGCTTCCAGAGGGTAATTGCCACCTGCTCTGACTGTGGAGAAACAGGTCTCATTTGGGTATTCTGGCACCTCAGGGCAGGGGAAAGACATTCACAAAGTTCCAAGAACAAGGTATTGCACGTTTGGAAGTTCTGCAGCCACTGCTGATAGTCTCATGTCTGCATCACAATGCAGTCCCACCAGTCTCTGCTTGTCTCACGTTGCTAGAACCAGCATACTGCTGTGTCCAGAGGATTGATTGGCAGTTGCACTAGCATCAGTGCCAGGTCTTCCGTGAGCAGCACCTCCATGCCATGCCGAGCTTCATTCTCTTCTTGGAGGAGCAACATGTGTAGACTCTCAAAGTACTATGCCATTAGGCACAGTACAACACACGTCACCACCATGGTGGTTTGCTGTAAACCGGGGCTCCATGCTTGTACTGCTATATTGTCTGTGTGGGAAACGAAGGCATGAGCACACTGCCTCCTGTTGATCTCTCTCTCAGGGAGGGACTAGACCAGTGCATTATGGGATGCTGGTGACATTAGCCCCATTCTACCTACAGCACAGTTTTGGACCCAGTGAGCCCCGTGAACATAGCCCAGAATGCAAAGCAACCCATGGTGCATTGCTCTTTGTCAGTGGTGGGCTCCCTGATGGGGATGTGCTACTTTGGACTACATTTGATTCTCCCTTGCAGTGAAGACACGGACCTTTGACTTTGCAAAATCAGGTGGTAAGAAATGAACTATATAATGCTACGAGGTAAGGTTGGCTGTAATATGTGCCCTTTAAGCTCTGTGTTATCCAACCATGTTCAGAGCAGGTATAATCATTGTGTTAAAGCCATTTTTAGCTAGGGGAAAATAATGAATGTTATTTCCATAAGTGGGGGAACACTGAGCAGAGCCTCCCCAGCTGATCTCCGTCCCCGAGCAGGTTCATATGGGTCATAACCAAGACTTTGAATTGTGCCCGGAAACATACCGGAAGCCAATGCAGCTGCCGAAGCACCGGCATAATGTGCTCCGTATAATGAGTGTTAGTTAAAACTCGAGCAGCCGCATTCTGGGCCAGTTGAAGTTTCCGAAGGCTCTTTAGAGGCAGCCCCACATAAAGTACATTACAGTAATCTAGTCAGGATGTAACACGAGCATGGATCACTGTGGCCAAGTCATGTTTGTTCAGTAAGGGGAGCACTCCTGCCCACTGAGGAAATCCTGGTTCTCGAATGTTAAAAAAGGGTCCAGGAGGACTCCCAAGCTGCGCACCTGTTCTTTCAGGGGAGAGTATGAAAGCATCCTGACAGGTAAGACTGGAGCCACTGCAGAACAGTGCCTCAGACACCCAACTCTGCCTGGCGTTCCAGAAGGATGCCGTGGTTGATGGTATTAAAAGCTGCCGAGAGGTCCAAGAGAATCAACAGGGACGCACTCCCCCATCTATCTCCCGGCGTAGGTTGTCTACCAGGGTGACCAAGGTAGTTTCAGTTCAGTTGCTTGAGTGCATTGCAAAATGTAACACGCGTGTTTCCTTTCCAGTTCATCAGACAGTTGCTAGCTGTCATTCCTTTGTCAGCACCAACAGAGGGTAAACTTGCACTGCCAGCGGACATCAAAGCTTTGCAACAACACTTGTGTGTGGTACAGCTAACAAGATTGCTTGGTCTCTATCACACCATTGATAAAAAACAAAAGCTGAATGTAGTCCAGGAGCTGATGTTAAGATATCAGCATGGATTGGAGTTTGGTAAGACTATCTTGAAACTAGTAAATTCTGGTTAGACTGTCTTGTGGGCTGAATTTCTAAAAGCTTGTCACTTTTTTTTGTGTAATTTTTCAATTTTGTCAAAAAGAAAGTAGTTGTATTTGTGTCTGGTTGAAAAGGTCTGTCTTTAAACAATCCTCTGGCACAGTGTTTCCCAAACTATGGGCTGCGGCCCAGTACCGGTCCACGGGGAAAAAAAATACCGGGCCTCAGCGTGCCTGGTGGCTGCTGGCAGGGCCAGCCTTAGGCCAATTCAGTCTATTCCTCCGAATCGGGCCCTGCTCCTAAGAGGGCCCCGCGCACTAAAGCCGCGGTCCCCAACTGGTCATCGCGATTGACTGGTCGATCGCAAGGCCTTGACCAGTGGATCACAAGGCGTTTGAGGCCCCCCCACACTCCATTCTTCCCCCACCCCCGAGAAGTCCCACTACCTACCTCCAGTGCAGTGCCGGCTTCCCCGGGGTGGACGGAAGTCCTTCCTGCAGCTTCACGCCACTTCCGGGGGTTCCTGAAGTGCGCTGGCTGCTCCCCTCCCACAGCTCTGTAGCGTGCTGGGCACACGGTGGGGGTGTTGGCCCTGGAGGAAGAGCTTGGTGGTGGGGTTGGAGGAGGTTTTTTTCGCATCTCACTTGTGTGGCCCCAACTGACTTTTCTGTGGGTCAGTGACCCCTGACTCAAAACAGGTTCCGTGCCCTCCTCATAAATAAAGACAATGCAGAAACTTTTTGTGTTTGACATAGTATTTTATTTAAAAATGAAGCCTGGCCAACAAACCCCCAGCTGGGGCCAAGCCCCCATCTGGCCACAGCATCATTGCACTCCCCTTTCCCCCAGACCCTATATCTGAAAATCAGTTGTACAACTATCAAAACAAATTATTTTCCTAATATGAAAGTGAAAATCTATAATTAATATTCTTTTAGAACGTGGTAACTTCTATCAATGGGTGTGTTTAGACTACATGTAGATGAGTTTACTAGACATAGCAAAATGAAACGGCGATTTAAATAATCGCTGCTTCATTTACATCAAAATGACCACCGCGCTGTTCGGATCAGCTGATTGTCGGCACAGCGCGGTAGTCTAGACGGGGATCAGCTGACCCTAGAATCCTTTGTTGTCAGATCCTGTAAGCCTCATTTCACTGAAAGATTTTGCTGAACAAAAACCAAGGAAGATAAAGTTTTAAAAACATATAGGCGAGGTGTACAATAAAGTCCCTCTTAACCAATCTGATATTTATAATATATGACGCAATGTGCCGAAACTTTTGTGTGGAGTGTGTGTGTATGTGTGGTTTTTTTTTGCTCAACAAAAAATCCTGGGTGCTGGGGCCCCGTCAAAACAGTTCAAATTGGGCCTTGCACTTCCTAACGCCGGCCCTGGCCACAGTTCAAGCCCATATTCAGCTCTGTTTGAGAATATAAATGAGACTTCGGTGGTTCATAGTCTTAGTGAACAGATCCTTTTTGAGGATGAATTTTACCCATGGTAACGTCTGGTATTTTCTCAGTTTTTTTGTGTTTATTTTTGGGCTGCAAAAACAGTACTGGGGGGAAAAAAGGGTTCCAACTACAAAAGTTTGGGAAACCCTGTTCCAGCCAGCTTTCTGTCTCTTACAGTCCATTTATCCAATACATATTCCTTAACTTGCTGGCAAGAATATTGTGGGCGACCATATCAAAAGCTTTGCTAAAGCTGGCGGGGCTTTGGGAGGACCAGAAACAACTTATTTGAATATTCATCATTTGATTAATGAATATGCAAATGAACACTACCTGTCCTCCAAAAGTTCATGAATGGATTTACTGGTCCCAGTGTCAACAAGTTTGGGAACCCCTGCTCTGGCGGGTCTGTAACTCACCCTGCAATGTTGAGCTAGTATAAAGAACCTGGAAGTGAAACTGACTAGAAGCAAAAGTGAAATGGACCCATTCCACTGTCTGCTTTGAGGGCACTTCCAAAAGCATAAATGAGAAAAAATGACACATTGACAATGCATTCCATTTTTATAATCTGGCATTAGTAACAGCTGTAAGGAAATTTGGGATTTCAAAAATAACCTGATGACATCCCTTAGAAATGTCACCTGATGGGCTGTGAGGCTATCAATTATAGCTATGTAAGAAATTGCCACCCCCCCCCCTTATTGCATGTAACAATTTTGATTATACAGTACCTATACTATGTAGGGTGATATGCTTTTTCTCTATAGGGAAATCTTGTTTGAAAACTGAATTGCAGTTTTCAGATTATTACTGTCTGCTTGCAGTCCATCTGCTCCTTGACATGTGGCTAGAGGCAGGTAAGTCCCTGCGGTTGTCTTATTCTTAAAACCTGTATGAATATTTTTGTTTCTGCATGTGTGCTCTATATCCTCTGAACAGGAGGGCTGAATCTTGCTTCCTTCAGATGTCAGTTATAGTTGCTACTTATTTGGGCAGAAGGTGACATTGGTGAGTCACATAGCATTAGTCTGCTGTTTCGGACTAGCCAGGGTCCATCTTCTTGAGGCTTAACTCCATTGTTTTCCAGAACTTATTTTACAAACAATGCTTTAATTGCTTAATTTAGAAGTTAATTATTTAAGGCTGTAACAGGGATGGGTATGTAACTGTTACCATTAATTATTTTATATTGCGTTAGCTCAGTGCTGTTCTCATCTATAGGAAGATAAAGTCCCTGCCCCAAAGAGCTTATAAGCTAAAAAGACAAAGCTTGAGGGCAAGGATACAACATTGCAAGTGAAGGAAGGGCATGTGACTGAACGCTCAGGAAGTGGCTTGTCAGTTCTGTAGGTTTGGGATTTTTTTCTGCATAAAACTATTCCTCAAGTGTTTGAGCTATCCTCTTCTGAGATGAGGGTTAGGCAAGCAAACTCCATCTTAAACTGGAAGTTTATTAATTTCATTTTTTCAGTCCCAGTAGAATCCTTGCAACACTACTTACTTCCTTGCTGAGCACTTTCCCCATCCTTTCTCAGTCCAGCTTCTCTGCATCCCTCTGCACAACCTTCTATTTGCTCAAGGGAATAAATTCCCTCCTGATGTCAAATTGCTGGGTTCCCGCAACTATAAAGACCACCCTTTGGCATTACTGATTTGAGGGACCCTGGCCACAGAATTCTCCCAAAGGTTTTGGCTCAAAGGTGCTTGAGAAATAGGGAGCTCCACAGGTATCACCACCTCCTGCTTCCTGGTGGTGAGACAGATGCAGACTCTCCTTTCTGGAGAAGCTTTGGTCCTTCATGCTGGGAAGTCTCCTGGAGGGTTCCCCTGGGAAGGTGGCAGATGTAGCCACATGTCTCCAGATTCCTGGCTCTGTTGGGGCTAGGTAGTACCCAGCTAGCCCCCTTCACAGGGTGCTTAAAGGCACTCTTAATCTGATGTGGTTACAGCTGTGGCAGGGTCGGAACAGAAGGCTATATATTCAGGGGCAAGCAGGGTAGAAACTGTGACAGTGTCCAGTCAAAGAGACAAAAAGTAGTCCTATTGGAGATACATTAGTCTAGAACCAGCAGAGGCAATCAGGGCAGTGGCGCACTTGGGGCTAATTGACCAGCCTAGGCTCATTAGGACACCTGGGGGTAATTAAGAAAACCAGTTGAGACTGGCTATAAAAGGAGCTTGCCTACAGTTGGGGCGTGCGTGGGGCTGAGAGGATGGAGGAAAGTGCTGGGAGTAGGAGGAAAACAGAGAGCAAGTGGACATTAGGAGGACGAATCAGAGAAAAGGAAGGTGCTGGGAAAGGAGCCCAGGGGACTCGGAGCTGTCATGTAGCACGTGTCGGGGACTCTCACAGGCAGCTTCTATCACAGGGCCCTGGCCTGGATCCTGGAGTAGAGGGTGGGCCCTGGTTTCCTCCTCAACACCCAAATCACCATTTCCACTTGGGGACAAGACCATGGAGTTTGTTCTCCCTTTTTACCATTCGCTGGCCAATGATGAAAGGAGCTCAAACAAACAGTAAACTGATGCCCTAGGTGTGGTGCCTAGAACTGTGGGCTGCTGTGAGCCTCTGAGGCAAGCACATCTGTCAGGAAGTGCAGGACCCACTGGATCTGAGTTGGAGAAATAATGCCACTGTTGGATGTACTTTAAAAACCCACTATGTCTACACTGGTGGGTTCTTGCACAAGAACATCCATTCTTGCGCAAGAACCTGCAGAGCATCCACACTGCCTACCCGCTCTTGAGCAAGAAGATTTACAGTACAGTGAGCAAGAGAGCTTACACTTGCGCAAGAGCTATGCTCTTTTCTAACAAGAAGCCCTATCTTACCACGCTTTACTGTAAAACTTCTTGCGCAAGAGCAGGCGGGCCGTGTGGACGCTCCGCGGAAGAATGGCCACTCTTGCACAAGAGTTGAAGTAGGAGCTTTGTGTGTCAGTCTATAAATCCAATATGGTTATTTACCAGAGGGTCATTCTCTCTGTCATATGCTGCTAGTGTGTAGCATTTACACTCCTGGTAGCAGTGGAAGTCCAGGCACCTGGAACTAGCGCCTTCTAGCAGGTTAACAAGCATGAAATGATTCCTGTTGCATGCAGGTTGAATTATTAAAATCTATATTTAAGGTGCCTACATGTTGTCTTTTTGGTGCTGAGCATAATATAATTTATTTAGGCATTCATATAATTTAAAGTAGCTTTGAGTGAGGCGAGAAACATACAGGCAGCATGGGAAGTGTGCGTGAAGAATGAGAGGTTTTCAGCCCAGTTTGTTTATTGTGCCAGTTGTAAACCTTGCTCTTTATTAAATACACTGTTCACACCTAATGTCTGTGTGTGCTTGTGTCCTCATCACCAGGTGAAGAGATCGCTGTGTGGCAGTCCTTGACTTTATTAGAAGGAGGATTAACCCGCAGTCCTTCTAATGCTCAGTTCAAATTGCTGCTCATTCGAATTTACTGCATGCTTGGTGCATTTGAACCTGTTGTGGAGCTTTATTCCAGCCTTGATGCTAAGCACATACAGCACGACACCATCGGGTGGGTAGTATATATTCAGGATAAGTGGTCACACTGGCTCTCATGCTGTCCATGTACAAAATTTTTAAATGTTCTTTTTTCAGTTTCCTTTAGAATTACAAACCAGCTACGTCGTGAAAAGGCTCACAGTGAAGATACTGTGGAGTTTTTAATGACATGAGGGATTTCCCCTAGTACCCTCTGATCAGATTTCTCCTACTCTCCCTATGGTTTTGCAGCATTCTTTATTACTTAGGTGCTGCAGTCAGTCCCAGAGGTAGACATATGTCTGTGAGGGTTTATCAAAATAGCATGTGGGATGAAAGCTGCTTATGTAATTGAGTTAGTATTACACGTAAAACACAGACATCAAATCTTTTTCACCTCCATCATAGTGTCCTTTAATCTGTTTCTTGTTCTACCGTTTGTTTATTGTGTGGTTTTATATTGGTTACTTTTAAATCTGGGTACCACTGAGTGAAGGGGATCTTCTTATTGTTTTTGTTTGTGGAAAATGCCTTTGTATGCGTGGTATGGAGACAGAGCGTAGCTGGTCATGCAGTCTTAAGACTGCTATGGTAAAACATCAGACTGCTCTACATTATAGGCCTATATTGGTATAACTACGTTGCTCAGCAATGTGAAAAAATCACATCCCTCAGCAACATCGTTATACCGACGTGTGTGTGTGTGTGTGTGTGTGTGTGTGTGTGTGTGTTCAGACTAAGGTCCTAGTGTAGACCAGACCTAGGAGAGCTTCTCCCACCGACATAACTGCCATCTCATAGGGAGATGGAATAACTAAGCCAACGGGAGAGCTCTTTTCCATCTGCTTGGAGCATCTTCGTTAAAGCGGTGCACAAGTGCATGGAAGGGTCTTGAAGCTTTATTTGTGGATATCACATTAAAATGTTTTGCTCCTTGGAGGAGGAGATGGTGAGAGGAGCTCTGTGTTCTGAAGAGCATGGTTAGGTAGGTGAAATGAGAATTTAATAAGAGGAACCTTTACCATTTAAAAAGAAATGGAGGAACATTATGAAATTGTACAATTTTCAAGGGAGTTACAAGGTAAAGGCAGAAGCTGTGCTATGATGCTCTGGTCAGTGAGACCATTAGTGAAAATAATCTTTTCAGGGCACTGTGTGTCTGTGCATAATTCAGTTTACGGTGTTGTATTCCAGATACCTTCTGACACGCTATGCAGAGTCCCTGGGTCAATATGCTGCTGCATCCCAATCGTGCAATTTTGCACTCAGGTTTTTCCACTCCAACCAGAAAGATGTAAGTGACACTAATTTCTCTCATGACTCCTCCTAACTAAGCAGTTGCGTTCTCTTCAAAATAACTTGGACACATGGCCTATAGAAAGATTTATGCAGGATTTTCTGTGGGTAGATCATGGTACAGGTTGGACCTCCCTGGTGCGTCACCCTTGGAACCTGAGCTGTCCCAAACCAGGGAATTTGTAGGACAGGGCAAGGTCAGCGCTCCCCTGTTAGCTGCTCCTCTTCCTTGGGTTCCCTTCCCTGGCGTTGGCCCTGCTAACGCTGGCCTGGCATGGGCTCGCTATCCTACTGCCTGCCCGCTACCAGCTGGCCCAGCCCGGCCGCTGCCAGCCACACTGCCATACGGCGTTCCCCAAGGTTCCTGGGCTGAGGCCACCCAGCTGCCTCCAGCCCCACTGGGGATGGGGCTTCCACGGCCAGGATTGCCCGGCCACACCACGCTGCTGCTAGGGCTGGCCCCGTTGTCGCTGGGACCTCCCTGGGGTTCCCCAGCCAGGCTGCCCACTGCAGCCCCAAGC